CCGCGCGCGCGCGGGTGCGCACTTGGCCGCCGACGCCGCCGCCGACTACGACGCCGCGCCGCTGCGCACGGGCGCCACTCGCGCGCCGCACGCGCTCGTGCTGCTGCCGGACGCACGCCTGCGCCGCTACTGGGACCTCTACATGTTCGCCGTGCTCGTCTACCTCGCCACCGTCTCGGTCTTCGTCTTCTCGTTCCTCGGCTCGCGCGGCCCCGCCAGCGCGTGGTTCTGGGTCGAGAGGGCCATCGACTGCTCGTTCGCCGCCGATCTCGTGCTCAACTTCTTCACCGCGTATGAGCGCGCGGGGCTGCTTGTCACCGACAGGAGGGACATTCGGGCACACTATCTCGCCACATGGTTTGTGCCGGATGTTGTTACTACGTTTCCGTGGGACTTGTTGGGCGTCAGTCAGAGAGGCAATGACCCGTCCCAACACAATTTGCTCAAGCTTCCCAGGTTTATCCGCCTTATTCGCCTGTTCAAGCTCGTCCGCCTCACAAAGATTATTCGCTTGAAGAAACGCATGACTCGCCTCGAAATCAAGCTTCGTTTAAAGTACGGCCACGTCAAACTCGTTGGTTTATTCATCTCCGTTGTCTTCAGTATGCACCTCTTCGCCTGCCTCTTCTATTACGTTGCCTCGCTGGATGGCTTTGACGGCTCCTGGGTCGCCCAGGATGGCATCCCCTCCGACCTGTACGGCAGGTATATCGCCGCCCTCTACTTTTCAGTCTACACAATTACCACCATCGGTTACGGTGACGTCGTCCCCGAAAATACAAGGGAGCGCTCCTTCACTACTGTCTTCATGTTTCTCGGTGCTGCAATGTTCGCCTACATCATCTCCCAGGTCTCCAACATCGCGGGCGAGCTCACAGAGTCGTCTGCCCACCACCGTAGAATGATGGACTCATTCACTGATTTTGCAACCTACAGAGACCTTCCCGACGACCTTGTCGTCAACATTCGCACATACTTTCAAAGCGAGCATCGTCGCCAGCGTGTTATAAACGAGCAGCAGTTATTGCAACGTATCAATAGGGAGCTCCGCATCAAGGTCATCAAATTCATGTTTGGCACAAGCGTCGAGCACTCTCGTTTCTTCCGCAGCATTCCCAAGGACCATCTCGATGATGTGTACAACACTCTAGTTGAAAAGTTTGCAGACAAGGGAGGTCGCATCTATTCCGAGGGAGACGAACCGTCCTTCTTCTATATCATCATCCATGGCTCTGTCCAAATCCAAGCCCGAGGCGCCCCACCAGTCAATCTCGGTAAAGACGACATCTTTGGCGAACGCGACCTTCTCTTCAATCGCACGCGCCAGAGCCGCGCTATCAGCACCAGCTCCACCGGGCTTGTGCAAGTCCCCCGCAGAGCTGTGATGCGTATCCTGCAACGGCACCCACGTGCCCTAAAACGCCTTCGCGATGAAGAAGCACTTATGTTATGGAACAACGTCATCAACGTCAGCGAAGAGCAGATTCAATATCAGCGCTTCGCGCACGACCTCCGGGAAAACGCTGTCGCTTTCATTCGACAGAATGGGCCCAACGTGGTCCGTCAGCAGCCTCCCGTCAGGCGAATTTCAAGGCAGGCTTCGTCGCAAGAGTGGCGCGCCATGCCGGGGGCCTCGCAAGGTAGCTTCGGGGCATCAGGCTATTCGTTAACGGACACGGGCGACGAACAAGAGAACAGCTCCCAGGATAGCCAAGACGGGATGGACCTGACGACCAGAGCCATGAAGACAGAGCTGCAGCGTAAGACACTGCAGGTGTCCGAGCTCGAGGCCGGCTTGCGCGACTTGCAGCGGCAGCTCGATCTCATCCTGCGCTCCACCCTTCTGTGAGGGACATGGGAGATACGAAGGGGAGGGATAAGGTGGAGCGACGCGCATTGGGGTGATGGTGCGTCGCGACTTTTCTGAAGGTCAAGGGGGAGAGAGACGGAGGGGGTGGCTGGCGGGCTGCACGCGGGACTTGCGGAGACCAGCGCTCCGACACCCGTGCAACCCCTGCCGCGCCCGTTGGCCGTTTCCTCAAAAGCAATGTATTTTTAACTGATGAATAAAAAAACAACGGTCATGGATTGGATAATTTGTGTACTGTTCCACCACTTCCGGTTACATGAGGGAATGGTCATTGGCAGTTTGGCTTGCCGACCAACACGAAAAGGACAAGGCCCTGTCCACGATGGAATGGAATTGAGATCACAATATAAACAATCACCGCCTGGGTACAACTGTCTCGCATGATTCAAACCCGTAAGGATTATCCTTCAGAAATCGTTGTTTCATATTAGTGGCAGGAAAAGGATCTCAACCATAATTCTGAAGCATGACGCTGAAGCATGACGCATATCCGTGACACGACTCATGGGGTTTTCTGATCCGCTTGCGCATTGAAACCCAGTGCTTCAAAAAATTAAAATTGCATGGCTTAAAACGCAACAATAGCAAGTTTTTTTCGAGTAGAATTGTCAACCTCCAACGAGCCTAAACTTCATATCCCGAGGAAACGACTCGGCTCGCTGGACTTCAGATTGTCGGATTTTACACGTGTCTCAGATATGCTGACAACAAGGCATACTAAATATGCACCCAATCAAAGGAACACAGCAATGACAATCGTACACACGGACATCGATTCGGGGGACACTAATGAAGTTAAAATGCAACAGGAACTGTCATTAGCCGGACACAGCTCCGGCTCGGTCTTCAACCGTATTTTGAGTTGCGGGAAGAGATGTCAATGTACGTCCTTGAACCGTAATACTGTACAGGGTAGGCTCAGGTTGAGGGCATTAGCAGTCGCTTCTAACGGATGCTTTGAGATAGGTTGAGATCCAAAAGAGCTGGATTGATTACATCTTTTTACAAGGCTTCCTCCGCATCAAACTGAGCCTGGAGCTTTCGAGCAAAGGCAATGTCTGCGTCTAGTTGTGCTTGCCTCGCCCTCGCGGCCTTTAGATCCATATCGCCGAAATCGTCAGGTACGTGAAGTACTTCCGCATGCAATGGTGGTTTTTGCATATCTCGTAGAGATGCTGGAAACATGTTATCTTCATCTGGCAACGAGTTATCCTTGTCCCCATTTTGCGCTGTGGCTTGCGGCGTTTCATCCTCCTCATCGTCTATCTCGACGACTTCGGTCAGCTGAGTAGTACTACATATTTTCAAAGAGGCAGACTTTGTTTTCGCTTTGAAAAAGCTCGATATGTCCTTTTGCTTCGGGTCACCGGCATCTTTGTCCTCAGTCAGTTCCATGCGCGCGGCAGTCCCTGTCAAAGAATGACCAACAACAGTCAGTTTTCTGCGTATCGTCGACCACATAGACTCGTCTATTGTTTTCCGAGCAAGTAAGTACTTCACTAGCACGCAGTCCTTTTGACCAATGCGATGGGCGCGATCCTCAGCTTGCAACAGACTTCCGGGATTCCAGTACAATTCGGCGAAAAGCACAACTGTGGCCTTTGTCAGAGTTAGTCCCACACCTGCAGCTGTGATGGATAAGAGTGCAACACGACATTTTGGGTCCTCTTGAAACTGACGGCAGAGATTCTGCCGATTGCCCTGTGGTGTGCTTCCGTCTATGCAAATGCGCCCTAGTTTCAATTTGGATGTAACGAATTCGTTCAGCTGCGTCATGACTTCCTTGTGATGAAGAAACACAATGAATTTGCAACCAGTTTCTGCAGTATCCTTGCAGAACTCTTTAACAGATTCAATCTTTGCGAATGCCGTCAGCTTGTATAGCTCATTCTGTGCAGCCTTGATGTCAAAATTCAAAGCCCTGGCACGCCCCTCCGATGATGGGTTTCGGGCTTCGTCCTTGAGTTTCTCCATTTTGACCATCGCACTCTCAACTTCCTTCATCGCCTTTGCCTTGGTTTGTACCCAAAGGACCTGACGCTGTTTGTCCGGGAGCTGAGAGAGTACCTCTTCCTTCTTCCGTCTTATCAAGAGACTACCGCGCAGCATAGTGTGTAATTCATCGAGATTGGATGCCCCTGAAACGTCATATCCAAACCGACCGACGTGTGCTGCACAATATCGCTCCACGTACTCTTGGTAGAGCGGAAACAGAAGTGGGGAAATAGCGTTGATTTGAGGGAAGAGCTCTACTGGACGAGATAAAGCAGGTGTACCCGACAGAAGCAATGCACGCTTTGCCCCCTTGATAAGAGGTGTTAGAGCTTGAGACCGTTTCGCAGTCATGGATTTCAGATAGTGAGATTCGTCAGCAATTATAAACTGGCAACGACGCAGAAACGCAGGCGGAATCTTACGAAGGAGATCATAAGAAACGATATTCACACGCTCAAGAGGCCTGTCGATATCTCTGCCGGTCATGATGACCAGAATGTCCTCTTCATCAAGATCATGATCCAGCCATTTTAACAACTCTTCCTTCCAGTTCAGACGAAGTGAGCTCGGGCATACAATCAGGAGTGGCCAATCATTCATGTACACCCTGGCCACCGCAATGGCCTGAAGAGTTTTCCCGAGACCCATGTCATCCCCAAACAGACAACGGCCCCCCCGCTTCAGAGCAAAATGGATGCCCTCCCACTGAAACTCCATCAGCTTTTCACACATAATCTCTGGAAGGACGCCCTCGAGTGATTGCGTGAAAATACCACCTTGCTCTTCCCTCTTATTCTCCGCGGCGCGATATTCGATAATCCGACAGATGATTTCTCGAGGAGTGCCATATTCAAACTGCGTCCTAACGCTCGCTTCGACATATGCCTCGCACGAGAAGGTGTTTTCGATAGGAATCGTTACCTTTTCTACTCCCAGAAAATTGGTCTTCTTGACCTTGGCGTGCTCATAGTTCTGCAGAGCTTCCTTCAATTCGGCGGGGCCGTTCGTGGTAATCGTGAAAGACACATGGTCAATGTCTTCAAGCGTGATGGACACTGAATGTTGAGGAGCATGTCTAGCTCTTTTCTCAGCCGGCTCGTGTATCCGTTCAGCTCTAGAGATATCAGTTGAGGTTTCATTTGACCCCCCCTGCTGGCCAAAAGAATCTTCCCTGTATCTTGAATGTGGTCTTTTTCGTGTGTCCCGGTGTGGAGAGGCGGGAGCAACAGCCCATTCAAACCACCCGCATTGCTCGCCATGGGGTTTACGACAAACCCAAAAATTCTTGCCCTTGTTCGGCCCTTCCTTCCGCACTGTCCTCTTCACCGCGTCATTTCCGCATCTGCATTTCTCAGCGGCGGCCTCCTCACCCATGATTGATGTATTCCCAGCTGATGAAGGCCGCGATCTACGGTCGTCAACTCCTCGCGAGCTACCGATCCGGAAACCGCCTATCGACGTTTGTCGTGAACCTAAAGAAGTCGCCTGATTTAGCCTGCTAGAGGGCCCATTCCGTGATCTTGCATCTTTCTCATGTTGAAAGAAAGGAGCACTGCGTCCCGGCATTTCAACTGAGGATCGACGAAAGTCCTGTCGTGGCGCTCTATTTTGTATGGTCTCTAGTAATCGAAAGAATTGACAGCGCTGTGGGAGAGGTAGAGAGCACCGAAGATAGCGACGACCAGGCTGCAAGCCGACTGGTTTCACAGTGATCTCTTCAGTCCAGACGCCGTGCACATCGCACTTCTCTCCTGTAGACCCAGCTCCGGTGGACGTCATCTGGCGTTTTGAGAGTGCACTATCTCGCGCAGCCCAAAGACTGAACGCGCATTGCCCTTGAACGCACATATACTGTTGAGATGAAACAGTCAGCTCTATGAAAACGAGAAAATAAGGAAATGTTTGCAGTGCCGAGAAACAAGAGTTCACATACCTTGCCATTCCGCAACTTGGACCGATGTGCGCAGAAGCATTTCGGCTCTAACATTTGTGCAGTCTGTATGGATAAAACGCTTCAAAATGCTCTTTGGTTTCAAACATAACCGGTAAGACTGCGCTTTTGGACATCCATCAGAGCAAAGGAAGGAGTCCCGAAAGGGAATCGAAATATGGACTGAAGCGAGTTTGTGAGAGAGTGATTCGGCAATAAACTGACCGGCACCCCCAGGCTCGAGCTGCGGTGAGACCACGACAGGTGATGATAAAAGGCGCGAGACATGAAATTGGTCAGTGTGAATTTACGCATACTTTTCGACAGCTCCATAGTTGCGTAACCCACTTATTTTCCCGCCAAAAAATCACAATTCTTGCCGATCTCAACCATCGCTGAGCCAAATAGATCCTACGAGTCCCACTGCTGCTGATATCAAGTATGATGTTCGTGAAATGCGACAGATATCAATATCTGTCGTAATTTCACGAACATCATACCTTCGTTAAGGAACATCAAATAGCTCTTGTAGCTGGCTTGTGGAGGCTGGAGTCTCCTAGTGTGGTATTTCAAGACACGGCGAATTCCTTACGTAAGGCGAACTAACTCGTGGGTGAAGTGATGCCAACCAAAATTTTCCCGTCCACTGACTTGCCCAGCTTTCAGGCTCGCAACTGCCGATACAGTATAAATGGGGACAGGAGCAAATACTTGTCAGGAAATGGAAGCGTTATACCTTCTGCGTCAAAATGGAGAAATATTCTCAAGATTGAAGAGCCTCTATCCAACCTCATTAAATAAAAACAATTATGATACATCGCAACGATGTGCCCGCATATGTTCATTTCACGCACTATTCTGATATAAGCTCAATCCATGTATTTCTTTAAAGCAAATGCATATCAAGTTGTATTGCTTCGCCATTCGTCCGAGTCTCAAACGCGTCCCTATTGATAGAATCTGCACAGAATGACTGTCCCTCTCCATGACAATCATAATGTACTTCAACCAAAGCAGGACTTGTGCCTACTGACCAAGTTCTGACCTGATACATGTAAGACCATACCGGCTTTATCCGCAAGGTGATAGAAGATTTGCTCTCATTCGAACACCCCCCAAGTCCAGTCCCGGTTGTGAAAAATTGCGGGTGGTGAAGTCTATTTTCAGACAAAGCCAATATATCAAATTTGCGCTCGCCCTTGAGCGGTCAGTTGTCGTGGGTCGGCGAGATATTCCCGTGACAGTTCGCCATTTCTTTTTTAACCCAGTAAAGGGCGTCTTCCTTTCTCTTGTCACATTCTTGATCATAAACTGGGTCGAATAAGGATTGCCAATAAACCGCCAGGTAACCTTTTGCGTGATACACCGCCTGTGAATACAAAAAAAACTACACGCTTAGTCAAGCTGTGGCTCTTCCGACACTAGTCCTATTTATCTCGAGATGTTGCGGTTCGGGGCAGAAAACATAACATAAGAAAAACTGTACACATTGACAGTGTCATTAGAACATAGGCTCACGACAAGGTTCCTGTGAGGACAGTAGGAAGAAGATTGTTGCTGGTAGATAAGTGCCCACTTGTTCAACAAGAGATTGTTTTATATGCCTTCGGAGTTTGTCTTGTGTTCTATCGATCTGCCGGTTGCGTCATTCAAATAATAATCAATGTCTATGTCATAGCTTACTAAGGAATTCTACAGTTGTGACTGCGATTTCAGTACAAGTCACATAAACCTGTCTACGTAATATACTGCAAGCATTTTTACGTTGAGATATTGTAAAAAAACGCGCATGATGTACAGCTTTTTATGCATTCTGTGATAGTCTTTCGGACTCACAGAATGCATGTATAATGACAACATGCACTAGTCTATCAGACGTTGCTGTATAATGCATTAAATGCTTTAAACCATGCAGATGAAGTACTACTGATTCTCTCAAGAGGAAGTTAGATGCATTAGGAAGGATTAAAATCGCAAAAATGTTCCGGAGAATCCAGGTTAATCCAATCACTCTACTGGTTCTACACGGAGCAATTATTCTTTAAAGACGTCAGGGAAATGCCAATCAATTTTTTCTTATCGTCAGGCTCATAACGCGGTAGCCAAAACGTAACAGCCTCTGCTGGATAGTTCCGAAGAAATGAGTGTCGCAAATTGGACCTGGCTCAAAAGGAATTTAACAACGAATGAAACGAACCCAGCTCTAGGTCAGCTTTTATATATTATGAGAAGAGCCATAACCAATGTGAAGATACCAAATCACTGGTCAAACGTAGATTCCTTTTCTTATTCGATATTATCAACTAAAAAACAGGAGTCAAATAACCCAAATCTTGATTCTGGGATCATGGTACTGTTAATATAACAATACGGAGCAGCCTCACAGAAATGAAAGGCAATTGGAGTCTTACCTGCTCTACATTTCTTCAATAATGTACTCATATCTTTCATGCAAAAGACGTTTGCGGTGAAAGGCGTATAGAACCTGTTTCTCAGTTTGACAAGAGAAACAGTTCGATTTCACGCCGTTTTGTTTGATTCTGATGGCACGTCATTCCATGTACGTTTCTCTGTCGATATGCCCAAAAATTAATGTTGTTAACAGAGAGCTGTTCCGATTTTGAAAAGAGTTCCAGGGGAACAAGGAGCTGTTGACATGTAAGCGTGTGTAATATAGACCTAGGCCGGAGACTGAGCATCTTGGGAATCCGGGATTGTTCCATTGTGGTGCGTCAGCCACAGAATTTGCCTGTTTGATTGTTTTTAGAGTAATCTTGTACATGTACGATAACCGGACAAAACGGCTGATCCAGAGGCTAGCAGAGTAAGAAGAAAGCATCTCAAATTTCAGGTGTATTCTTACCAGAAAGTGGGGCCCATGTCGGTTGGGGTATTTCCGTTTTGCCCCCATGGTGACTGGCACTTGACAGCCTTTCTATTGTTGGCAATTATGCTCTAAAAAACTTACGGAAGAATACGCTCTATGCTTCACGTATTTCTCGAGGATGTATCTACAAAACTTGGAACAGTTGGCCGAACAGGAAACCCGAAACTCTGGGGATGGCATACTTGCCATGGCCCCTGCTCAGTAAAACATAATCTTTGTGCAGTTATGCAGCTCCAACAAAAAGTTCAAAACCACGGCGTGCTCTTCGTGTGCATGCAGCATTCTCTACTTGCCCGTGACTTCATTGATATTTTCTCTCTTGCGATAGCCACAGAATGGGGCAACATCGCTATTGACAGGGATGACCAATCAACTTGATTTACAGATGATTCGTCGCCCTTCGAGTACTTGAGCAAATACTAAGCGAGGAGCGCACAAACCCAGTTCCTGGTTGCCTCATTCCCAGTACCTGGCGAGAATATGTATCTTTGCCTAAGGCTACTGCTTGCTTGCTCGACGAGGCCCGCCAAAGTGCAGTCGTGAGACAGCTGCGGATGCAGCGCAGTTATCTCCTCGAATGACGCATTCTTTTTAGGACAGAAGTCTACTCCAGAATCACTGTACGACCGAATTTTATGATATGACTGTAGGGCGTCGCAATTATGCGGAGAGGGGCAGTGTCAGCGTGACTTGTTGTCGATATATCAGGCAATAGTAGAGAAGCCCTTGGTTCTGGCGTGGCCCAGATGTGCATGTTGAATTCCGATTGCTGTCGTCCCTCAAGAGAATACCTCTACCCAAGGGTAGAGGGCTATTGTGAGGAAAAGCGGGGCTTGTTTTGGGGGTGCTTCGACAACAAACTCGAGGATGCGGAATTTGTGGTACGCTCTCGCTGATTCCTTCATGACGCGCAAACCTGCTTGCAGATTATTGAAAATAGAGCACATGCACGGTAACATACTGTGCATGACTGCGTCTAGAAGGTACTTGGATTAACCTTATTTACGGAGAATATCCTTACACTTCTGTGCATAACGGAGGGATCAACTTACGTTGTACTGTAACGTATTAATTCCTGTTTCGAAGGTGCAGATATATTTCAATGTGGTATATAATATTATATTGACTTCCCTGGAAGTTGTGTACGCTTTTGCCACATTTTTGTCGCAGAGCAAGCAACCCTTAGTCAACCTCATCTGCACAACTTGCAGGGCTATACTATTTTCTCATTCGGCGTAAATGGTGCTGTCCGTACCCCAGAATACTGTACCCTGGGTACACAATGTCACATGATGAGAAACATGACAACTGCGAGTAGCCTTTCTCACGTTCGGATTTCTCCCCAACGCCTAACAAGTTTCATTCCGTTGCATAAAACAATTGCATGGGCCGGAAAGGGGTAGGTCTCCATCTGGTTTCACGTCGACCGAGAGCGGTGTGTGTGAATGGCTGTACCATAATTAAGAGGGCCTCCCCGGCGAGTATATTCTGGGCTGGTCCATAACAAAACTGTTCAGCCACCTCATAGTATTATATGCAGTGCCTATTTGTTCCTAGACCTGTTTCGAATTGCGAGAATCTCAAGGAACTCTGACAACGCTGAACGGAATAAACAAACAACGTTTTTCTGGGGCCACAGAAGCTTCTCAGTGCTATTGATCCGAGCAACTACTACTTCCCTAAGCTTATTTAATTCTTCCTTAGGTCGCACTCGAAACCTGTTCAAATGGGAATGGCACATCCCTGAACTTGATTTCAACAGAACCACACGTGCTCGAGGAACGACCGTCCTACAAATTGGAGCGAAGAGCTACCAAGGCAGCCCGACTCTCTAAATGAACACTATGAGTGCTCAACACAGTATTTGGAAAGATCCAGCTCCTTTTCTCCCTCGAGTGGCAGTGGAAGATAGCGGAGTGCCTCATGATCTTCCAAACATCCCTCCCCATTTGCTCGTTGATATGAACATGTTTGGATCTGACGGTCTGAGCTCAGGTTCTTCCCAAACTAATACTAGTCCTGATGAGGAACAATTTCTTGGCTATGAAGGAGACCTTGTCGATTATCAATTCGACATGATGCTCGAGAGCTGCTGTAACGAAACTGAAGTATGTACGGCAGCGGGAGACCAAAAATCAGAGAATGTGACCGGAATACTTCTCTACAACTCCCCAGAAGAATCCTCTTCATGTTTCACCGCTCCTGAGGGGTGTTCGACATCGGTGGTCGAGAATCCCGGGCCGAAAGTATGGGAAGAGTTTATGGGACCAGAAAAGTGTCACAATGTTTTCAAAAGTCACGAGCATAGTAGCGCATCGGAGCCGCCAAGCGTATCTCCAAGGACCTCTACTATGAGTTTAGTCCACAGCCCTGTCAATGACTACTTGGGCCTTCGAGCCGTGGCCAGCAGGAACAGGGGGAATTTTGGCAAAAGAAAAAGCAAGCGAGCTCCAGCTCGGGCTTGGTCTGAGGCCGAACATGGGAGATTTGAGGAGGCTCTGGAACTCTATGGCCGCGATTGGGGGGCATGCGCACTTCACATCGGAACGCGACCTGCGCCATTGGTGCGAAGTCATGCCCAGAAACATTTGATCAAGCTATGGAAACTGGGTAAGCCACTTCCAGTCAAGGTGGCTGAGAGTGGAAACGGTTACACGTTATCAGGGAAGCCTTTGCTCCCTGAGTCAGCATCAGCTCGATCCTACTTGACGAAAATTCCTTGTCCTCGAACGCATGAAAGAAAGAGAAAATAGCCTTCTGGCAGGGTCAGCGGAGAAAGGCTTCTAGATCACATCAATAGATACCGTAGGACCAAGCCTTGTGATTTTGAGGGATCAGTTCTTTTTGTTGCATTTGTTAGGAGCACATCAATCTTACCGCTCGCCTCTCAAATACTCAAGTGCTACCACTGCACAGATTGTGATTTCGGATTGTGTGTGTGCCCTCGAAACCTACTCTTAACAGCATCACTTCCACTAGCTATTACCTCGCTTTGTAGGAAAGGTGGCCCTTCTATTACTAAGAATCGATAGAAGCCGCCGGGAGGTTTTTCTAATTAACGGCCTGTTCTGCGAAGAAGTATGGAGCATGCTCGTTATTTCATCTATTTGCGCCACCCCTTCCACATCGTCTTTGTCGCATTTCAATGTAAAATACCGGGTAATCTCCGAAACTGCCATCACGAGCACATCTCCTATTTGTTTATGGTCTGCGAGATTCGACACACAGTGCACTTCATATGTGGCGATCAACATATGCAGTTCCGAAATCAAGCATGAGTACAAAAAAAGTGGAGGAACATGTTCTCGGTGGTCTCTGCTCGCCGTGGTAACAAACGCGGAACAAACACTTCTTGTGACGTGCAATGCAGACAATAGATTTTGCGAAACTTGTTGACGTAGTTGATCGCTGCGTAGCAGTAGGAGCAGAGCGCGAATGGCCAGTCGGGAAAATAGAGCGAAGCATTGCCATCCCTCAACTTGACTGACGCTTTCGTTACCGAGGACCTCGAGCAGGAGAAAACCTTTCTCCACATTCCCGAAAAGGGATGCTACTTCTGTAAATGTGAGCAATGGAAGTTGGCGTGCAAGCGCGCCAATCCAAACTGATCGAAGAGCCGTGTGCATTGGAGGTTTTGTATCTTGCGGGAAGCCCTTCACTTCTTGCCAGTTCATTCTCGAACTGGCGAGCATAACAATGATACGTTCGCATTGTCGTAGATAAAAGATGGATAGCTTCGTATCATCAAGCAGTCCCACCTGACTCATCTCCTCCTCACTGAAAGTGCGAATGACACGGTTCAACTCTGTTTGCACTCGCGCTGTTTCCAAAAACAGGAAAGGAGAAGCGTGTTGTAATCGGCCCTGTAACTTGCGAGCAGTCTCGTCCGGAACGATTCCCAAAAGCGTGACGAGGGTCTCAGACGCCGTTTGAACTCCCTGCAGTTTCCCCGCCCTCCGCTTATCGAACGAGCAGTATGTACTCAGCAGTTCCGTTGTATGCGCAATCGTCTCGAAATTCTCATCAAAAACCGCGCGACCTGGCTCCCAACTATCAGCCACGCACCGCACGAACGCCTCCCACTTCGCGTCTTCCTTCTCCAAAAGCGGGTTTACAAGATACTCCAAGCACACCGCCACTCTAAATAGCGGCGCCTCCCCCAGCTGCTGAGGCACGAGCGTTTGCTTAACAAACTGGCAGAACGGGGGAAACTCTTCCTCCGCACATGCAGCCAACATATCCCGCACACAAACAACGATGGCGGGCACATCCGCCCCTTCCCACGGCTCCTGACATCTAAGCGCGGTCAGGATACCGCAAACAGCCGCCTGGCGTACGGCCACGCTCTGTCGGGCGGCCCATTTGCAAAGCGCGGAAATGACAGCAGCGGGGTCGAGGAGCGAGAGAAGGACGAACTGACGCTTGACGCGGGAAAACTTGGCATCGTTGCGGGCCGTGTCTGAGGCGAGACGGTTTAGGTGGAGGACGCAGGCTTGCGTTACGGCGGTTGCCAGAGCGGGGTTTGGGCATGCTGAGAAGACATGGGCGTTGATGGCGTCATCGCGGATGGCAAGCAGGAGGGGGGTGGACAGGCGAGCGAAGGGGGCATGATGGAGTTGGTCGGGGTGGAGGCAGCGGGCGTGGACGAGGGATGTGGCCTCGGCGACGGAAGGCTCGTCGTCAGGGGGCGGAGAGGGCAAGGGTTCGTCGTTTGGTGGAGAAACCTCGCTTTGCCATTGGAACGGGATTGGGGAGGGGACAGCGCGCGGCATTGGGGCTGGTGAGGGCTGTGGGAGGGAAGGGATCGATCATTGCATTGGGGAATGCAGGGAGGAGGGTGCTGAGCAATGATTGTGGTCGCTGCAGTGGTCGCAGGGTGTCGAGGGTGAGGGGGTGGAAGAGTTGGCTGATGGACATTGATAAGTTGACGATGGACGCGAGAGTTCGTACTGTAGACCTGTCGTTGATCCGGTACAGCAATGACATTATGAAGAGCTGAAAATATGTGATTTTCTATGGAAGGGATGTTAACCTCGATGCTGGACTTCCGGAGGAGTAATCCGGCAGCCTGTTCTTTTGGGCTGGCTCCAGTGAGCCTCCCAAGAGCTATAGACATTCATACTCTTGCATAGCACTGTAATAGACGTTTATTTGAACGGTTTAGTGATCACCAGCGTGTTTTTTATGTCGCACTCATGAAGAAGTTGATTCGACACATCAACATTTGACGAGTCACAATTGTTCGAACGAGGAGCATTAGATCATGGAGGAAAACCTAGTCACGGTCCATCAATGCGAATGAGCTTCACATCCTTCGGCAACAAAAACAAATAGATACCCGGATGGCCATCAACAAGAGACAATTGTACATGGAGTAGTAGTAGTCGGTTTAGTTTCAAGAGCTAAAGCTCTGTTAAAGTAACATAAACATATTATGTACACAAGCAGCGACGAATCAAAACGCCTCAACATGAAAACACTCACTCAAACTATCTGCCGAGGAGCAACAACCGTAGAGGCGCTGACGTTGGTGAGAATAAACAGATTAGCAACGTCAAGCGCGAAAAAAAAACGGCTAGACAGAACAACATCGTTTTCAGAACAACGAAGAGTCTTACAAAAACTTCAGCGACCTTCGCTTCAACAAGTGCATCACTTCGGATACAGCCACGGGGGGTCGCCCATCATTCACCATGCTCTTACAATGCGACAATCCATACAGTTCTGCAATGTCGCGAATCGTGTCGCGAATTTCCTCGGTGGAGCCTTGTGGCTCATCCCCGGTTGCGGATGCCACCATGTTCTCCGCATATCTCAGCATCGGTCTAGCCTGCTCCACGATTGCTTTCTTTGCCCCCGTCACGAAATACTTTGAGGCTGCCCCGTTGTGTGAATTCAGCCGCCGGACCATCGCTTCAACGCCCTTCAACCGCACGCCCGAGCCGATGTAAACGCCAAGGTGATCGGACGTGTCTCCCAGCTTTGTCATGTGATCGGTCAAGGCCCGTGATGGAGTCAGCGACGCCAGAGCCCGGGCGCGTTCCTCGGTTTTCTGCAGTGGGAAGGTGCCCTCTAACCGCAATAAAATATTCCTCTTTCCCGGTGTCTTTCCGTGTAGCACATCCAACACAGCCTGGGCAGCTACCATTTCGTCATCGTGACCGCCCGATCTAAACTCGCTCATCATCTTGAACGCAGTGTCGGTCTGCGCACAGATGTCTACCAGTGCCCGGCACTTCCACCTCCCCACTTGGTACACTCGCGCCCCTTTGCTCGGGCGCACCCCCGTGGCCGCATCAAACGCATCATCAACCGCCCCGCTATTGTCTACGTCGAAGAAATCGGTAATGCGGGGTGTCGGCTCTTCACGCGTCCCAGAGCTCCACGCGAGGAAAAGCGGCCGCTCATACTTCATTGCCAGTCCGATTGCAGACGCCATTCCTGCCAAGCGCTCGGGCACAGTACCGCCGACTTCTGCGAAAATAAAGCCGTTGCCACTTTGCCAATGCGTGGAGCGCCCCAAAGAGGCGAGGGATCGAACCAGCTCCCCTCTGGAGCGGTTGATTTCGCTCAACACACTCCAGGGGAAGCCATAAATATCATGCAGTAGTCGATTCGTGGCCTCGTCAATAATGGAGATTTGCTCTTGTCTGGAAACAAGGTCAAGCAATGCACGAGGCGTTCGAATAATATGCGCAGACACCAGTTGCCCGTCCTTGGAGTGCAGATTATACTCAAACTCTGTTTCCTGCAAAGTGCCGACTTTTGTCCAGGACGGCAGCGCAGCCGTCGCCTGGCTATTGACCTGCGTTTCAAGCGAAGGCCCCATGACCAGGTGCTGATTCGCACCCCGCAACGCATCGCCATGCTGCATATGCGAGACCGCCCCAGGGCGAATCTCGACAGGCCTCAAGCCCAGATCCGTCCCTGCTCCTTCGCTCCCCAGGCGCGCATACAAATCGGAATCATCCCATCCATACGTATTGATCCTTTCATCATAGCCATTGATCCTCCTAAAATCCTCTGCCCTCGCCAAAAACACGCCATTCAAATGCTGTTCATTCTCCGTCTTGGCGTGCTCCCAAAAGTAGCGATAAAAAAACCTGTCCTCATCGGCCCTGGCCGGCAGCCTTCCCCTCTCCTTCATCCTGACCTCGCCCTTGGGCAGAACCAAGCCATCCAAAAAGCGCTCCGTGACCATCGTATCACAGTCCAACTTGAGCAACCACTCCCCCCTCGCAAAACGCGCAGCCAAGTTATACGCCCTGCTGAGCACCCAAGTCTCCGCTTCCGGAACAGCGACGACGGTAATCGGGCACGGCTTCTCCTTAATCTCGG